TTTGATTAGTAATATGCATTGCTAAGAACTTCATTTGGACAACTTTAAAGATGATTTTTTCAATATTTAGATTTTTTTGCACCCTCAGATTCCAGATTTTCAAATAGTTGTATCTCGGCCAAATATTGTCAGATCCTAACAAACCTTACATCAATGGAAAGATTATTTATTCAGATGATGCATAAATCTCAATTTCGAGAAATGGACCCTTATGACTGGTTTTGTGATTCACCAGCTCTTACTAAAATAGCCGAAGCCTCCAGCTGTACCATGTGGGGGTCCACAGGGGGGTTCGAGACGGGATGTGTCTCAGTCGAACCCAGAGCTTTGAGAAGAGAGCAGAAAGCATTGCATGCAACAGTGACAGCTGGATGCGATTTAACACTCTTTTAACATTTGCATGCTTTTCATTTACATGCACTTTTTACCTCACCGTAAGAGCCTCGTTTGGGATCCCGCAGGATATTTTTGTCCCTCAGTTGTAGCCGCCAGTCAAGAGAGGAGAAGAAGAGACAGCTGGATGGCCTTCGGACACAAATCCACAACAATGCTAAAGAATAAAACTGTGAAAAAGCACTTAAGCACTCAATTAATTCACTAACATTGTGATGAATACAGACTTTACGATCTGATCTGAGCCTAATTTACACAACTAGTCAAACGCTTGGACACATCTACTCAGTGAGGACTAATAACAGAATATACTAATAGTGATGAAACTCGGAAAAAGCACAAATGGAAGTTTTGGGAATCATGTCGCGGTCATGTGACACAGAGAAAAACTCTTATATTTGAGCTTTTTTGATGAGTGCTCATTAAAACTAAACTTAAAACAAGTCCAGTTAAAACTAAAAATATATATCTTTAAAAAAATGTACTGCAATAAAATAAAATATAAAAAAAAAAACTTGCCAAGGCAACATTTCTCATTTTCATTTAGTTTAAATTGAATCACTAAAGCTAAAATATAAATTTACTAAAACTAGTCATTTTACAAAAATTAAAAAACTTTAAATAAAAATGGAAAAATAAAAACTAACTAAAAATATTCATAACAATTATACTAAATTAACATATATTCATCAACCAGCATCATTGCAAACACACACACACACGCACTGTTTGGCCAAAAAGTCATCGCCGTTTGGATTTAAGCAAGCAAATACTTAATTATTTAAGAGTTCAGGATTGGATCATCGCAGTGATTAATGTGTTTCTGGCATGTTCGGCAACAATTCTTTCAACCCTAACTGATCCAGTGTATTGCTTTTTATTCCTCAAACAACCATGTTGGAAGACATACAATATCAATGCAATATCAATACAATATCAATACAATATCAATGCAATATCAATGCAATATCAATACAATATCAATGCAATATCAATGCAATATCAATACAATATCAATACAATATCAACACAATATCAATACAATATCAATGCAATATCAATGTCAAGATTAATCTGGCTCAATTTTGACCGGTGTGATAATGTGTATACTGAATTAACATATTTCTGCAGTCATAAAAATTGTTATACATCTTAGCCCAGCTATTTTAAACTGTTTGATCACATTCTAGGGTTATTGTTATTATGCATAAAAAAAACTTTATGCAACATTGATAGGAACAAAAAAAATTTCAAAATAGTTACTTTTTTGTCAAATATAACATCAAATTTTTATATTAGTGCTGCCAGTATTACAACATCAATATTGTAAATTTTTTTGTAACATTAGAATTTTTAATTTAGTGCAATATTTTGTCATTGCAACATTTTAGTGTAATTTTCCCTAGCAACTGCAACTGGTTTTATATTGTAAACCTAAGTTCACTGTTATTCCACCGCTCACTATTGTGACTCATTCTATGACCACACTCAACAAAACTGAATATATGTGAATAAAAGCACTAAAACATCAGTCAGTAAGGTTTTTAGAGCTTTATAAATGAAAACCTTTTTTACGGTCACTATTGTGACCGGTGGGATTAAACGGGTTAAATGCATTTGATCCAGACAATCAAGCTTTTCAAGGTTAGTTATAGGTGTGTGTGTTGGAGCTAAACTCTGAAGGACTGTGTTGAAAGTTTTTGGGATGTGTCAGCTTTAAATATGGGTTCGACTTTCCCATTGTCAGTACAAGATCTTGGCCAAAAGTTAATCTTGTCTCGTCTTGTTTATTCATATAACACGACGAGCACTCACAGCACCGGAGCTCCTACCTGGACTCTTTTCACTAACACCCATGACCCCAATAAATCCACCCTCCGGGGTATTGATTGAGATTACTTCTCGTGTGATTCTTCACCCCGTTACAATATATTTATACCGGTATATATATACCAGTGTATATATATATTTTTTTTTTAATGTATCAGAATTAAGTGAGTTTATGCTTGAAACAAATTTTTTTTTCTTCTAAAAATCTGCCAATTGATTAAGAATTTTTTTTATTTTTTGTTGTTTTATTAAGCATAAACCCACTTAATGCATTTTTTCAGAAAACAAGACTTTACTATGATCTTCAATAGTTTTGCTTCTCCTGTAAATGTATCTTGATTTAAGAATGTTTAGATATTTGTACTGGAAAACAAGACAGAAATACTAAAGCAATTTTCTGTATTGATTTTTCAGTTTTTTCCCTATATTTTGAAACATGCATGGCATTGAATTGTGTTTTAGGTTTAAAGTAAATGTCTGTAAAACAGAAAATATCCTGGCAGAAAAAAAAAAAAAAAGATTTTTCTTACACTGTGCATTTTAATAAACTCAGACGGCCAACTGGAATTGTGTTGCCTGTGTAGTTCGTTTACGTCATCATCCGATGCCTGATTTTTAATTCTCAGAGATTGATGTGACCGTAGTCTGTGTCCTCCTGACCGTCGCGTGAGGATACGGACATCTGCTGCTCTGACGATTAGTGATGGACGTTAAATATATGACACATGCCGCCATCTTCAGTGCTTGTTGCACTAGTTTAAACACATATGCTTTATATATCATAATTAATATAGTTCTGCTTGTGCATCCTATGAAAGAGAATCTCTTTTTTTTCCTGTTCCGCATTTACACTTCTGCTCCAGCTGTTATTCTGCTTCACTCGTTTTGTGGGTTCCTATATAATAGCACAGAAATAAATTACAGTTTAACAGATATTCACTTAGAACACAGCTGTTTTACATTCTAATAATATTTCACAATTTTTACTGTATTTTTGATCAAATAAACGCAGCCTTGATGAGCAGAAGACACTTTATTAAAAAATACTAACAAATCTTAATTGTTCCATCACTCATGGTCACTCTCATACATTATTTAACAGCATTAACTCTCTCTTTATGAATGATCTTTTATGAAACTGCGTGAAATGGATTAGTTTCTCTCGCAGTCACTGGATATAAAGCGCCACACGCTGCTGAGATTCCTCATCATCTGAAGTCCAGCGTCTCTGAAGGCCTTCAATGGAAGACAAGATCTCTCGAGAGCCCAGGGATCTGGGCAGAGCTCTGTGCATCATCACAGGAGCGTCTAAAGGCTTCGGCCGGACACTAGCGTTGCAGCTCAGCTGCCTGCTGAAGCCCAGATCCGTCCTGATGCTGGTCGCTCGAACCACAGAGCAGCTCAACCAGCTGAAGGAGGACATCATAACCCTGTACGGCGGACAGAACCAGCTGGACGTCTGCTGCGTGCAAGCCGATCTGGAGAAGAAGGAAGGCGTGGAAAAAACGGTTCAGGCAGCTAAAGAGACTTCAGTGTCAGAAATGGACCACTTGCTCCTGATCAATAACGCAGGTGCGTTTGAGTTTGTCATTGCACTGCAAAAAATCTAACTCAGCATTTTTGTCTTGTTTTCCAGTACAAATATCTAAACATTATTAAATCTAAAAAAAATAAATAAAAAATACATTATAGTATTGTACTGTTAGATATATTCATCGATTTAAATCTAATTTTTATTATTTTAATTTTTATTATTTTAATTTTTTTTAAATATAAAAAACCAATAGTAAAAATAACACATTAGAAATAAATCTTAATTTAAAATTAAAATACAATTAAAAAATAAAAACAATAAAGATAAAAACATACTAAAAATTTAAGTATAAACAAAAAATATAAAAAATATAACACTTACAAAATGTAAATTGAAAGTTAATAAATAATTTAAAAATAAAAACAATTAAAATATAAAACTTGATAAAAACCACACAATAAAAATGAATAAACTATTAAAAAATGTAAAACAAAAATAAAACACCAACAATTAAATGATATAAATGTAACGTCACAAATAAATAAACAAAAACTATTAAAATATAAAAAGTACAATTAAAATCAATAAACAATTAAAAATAAAAACAACAAAAATATAAATGTACTAAAAATTACATAAAATATAAAAATTAACTTAATAAATAATTAAAAATGGTAAATTTAATAAATACAATTTTAATTTTCAATAAATTAATAATTTTTAAAACAAACAAAATCAAAATAAAACACTGAATTATTTTTTCTTACATTTACATTTCTTTGAAAAGGGTCCATGCTCAATTTGAACATAAATGTTTCCATTTCATGCATTATACCGAATTTAGCCAATGGCTATAGTTTTCATCCGCGGTCCCCTGGCAGGTAATCATAGGTAAACATAAGACAACAAACACATACAACACAGCAATACTTACACACATCCTATCAGAGCCACACAAAAAGAACAGTAAAGAAAAATCATATGAATATTGCATTTGTTTACCTGCATGTCACGTGACCGTTAATCAACATCAGAGAACCGTGAACATGTGAGTGTGTGGATATACAGTATATCGACTCTCAAAATAACATCTCAACCTCAAAGTAAATATTTTAGCTCAATGATGAAAAGTTTTGGGAATCGATGGTTTGGGGGAACGTCCGGGGACCCTGGCAAAAACACACGGCTGATAACAGGCAGAGGTTAATCAGCTGTTCTGAGTGTTTTGTAATCATGTGTGCCGCAGGTCCTCTGGACACAGACATGCAGTTGCAGGCGCGCCTGTCCTCCGGAGATCTGCAGCTGCGGCGCTCCTTCTCCTTGATGTTCTCCGAGGGCCAGCTGCTCTCCTGCGAGGAGTCCGGAGCCAAACTCATGAAGCTCCTGCTGGACAACGACTATCAGTCCGGCGCGCATCTGGACTTCTATGAGCTCTGATGCTCACAGCTCTCACACTGCATGCTCAACAGAGGCTTTAATGTTTGGATAGATTTGTGTTCTTTTTAGGTCTTAAAAATCTGTTTAAGGAATAAAAATGAATAAATGTTCAGGCATGCTTCTGCTCCAGCTGTGTGGAGTTTGATAAAGCAGCTGAGGACATCTAGTGGTGGAGGTGAAGATCTGCACAAAGAAACACAGAGAACCGTCATCTAGTTCACTACGTCTATAGTGTGTTCCCTTAAAGTGCCCCTATATGCATTTTTGAAAATGACCTCCCACAGCTGAATGAAAACATCCTGCAAAGTTTTAAACCTGAAAGTGCACCGTGTATAAGTCGTTGAGCAAATAAGGTAAAAATAAATGCATATTATAAGACAATTAAAATGTTTTTTTGACCTTGCATGCATGTCAGCCTGTTGTTGTGGACTCCCAAAAACAAAACAAGAACGTTCCTAACCCATAATAAGGGCACTTTAATAAACAGATGATGGGGGTTCTTCTAGTCCTCTAGATGGCACAAAACTCTTTTCTAAACATCCGATTTGTACTGATTTGTACCAATTTTGCTATTCATCTACTACGTCATCTTTAAACATGTTACAGATTTATGTAGTAAATGAGAATTATTACAGCTACCAAATATATTTTGAGGCAAAAGTTTTGTTCAGAGTAAACAAATCGTCAGTTTTTCAGTAACTGAAGAATATGTAAAAGTATAATATGTGGGTTTTTCATTTGACGTGATATGGTTAGATTCAGATAATATAATTTATTATTATTTGAGTGTCCACCTAATAAAATAATATAATATATAATATTCACCATATTTATAAAGAAACCATTTTATTAAAACATTATATTCATATAATAATGTTATTTAAATATGATATATAAAACATAATTTTTACTGTAAAGCAAAATATTAAATTATTTTATATTTCTGTATTGTTTTAAAGTGAAATTGTTAATTATTTTATATTTCTGTCCTTCATTTTGAGGAATACTGAATCTGTTTCTGTGCGAGTGAGATATGCATGTTCACATTGAGTCTAGATCTACAGTAAGATCATGTTCA